GTAGGAGACTTTAATACCCCACTCACAACTATGGATAGATCAACTAAACAGAAAATGAACAAGGAAACACAAACTTTAACGGACACAATGGACCAGCTAGACCTAATTGACATCTATAGGACGTTTCACCCCAAAACAATCAACTTCACCTTTTTCTCAAGTGCACACGGAACCTTCTCCAGAATAGATCACATCCTGGGCCATAAATCTAGTCTTGGTAAATTCAAAAAGATTGAAATCATTCCAGTCATCTTTTCTGACCACAGTGCAGTAAGATTAGATCTCAATTACAGGAAAAAAATTATTAAAAATTCAAACATATGGAGGCTAAACAACACGCTTCTGAATAACCAACAAATCATAGAAGATATCAAAAAAAAAATCAAAATATGCATAGAAATGAATGAAAATGAAAACACAACAACCCAAAACCTATGGGACACTGTAAAAGCAGTGCTAAGGGGAAGATTCATAGCATTACAGGCCTACCTCAAGAAACAAGAAAAAAGTCAAATAAACAACCTAACTCTACACCTAAAGCAACTAGAGGAGGAAGAAATGAAGAACCCCAGGGTTAGTAGAAGGAAAGAAATCTTAACTACGGGGTTTTAATCTGTTGCACCTGTCACTTCCAAAGTGATTCCCTCTGTTTATTTTGGCTTCTTCTGTTCGAAGGTCTCTTCAGTGTCTAATTTCTGCCCTGACACAAGGGGGCGAAGGCGGTCACTTATTTAGGCTCACTTGTTCAGTGCAGTGGGAGGGGGGAACACTGCAAGCAAATATCACTGGCGTGTGTGGGGAGCGCTCGCAGTGTCTGGGCCACATTGGGTTTGCCCTGCTCACAGTGCGTGTGCTTTCCCACTCTAGACTGCTCAGGCTCCAGGTTGCTCTGAAGGGGAACTGTCTAAGGTGGGTCTGAGTTGCATGCCCTTCCCAGGTCCGAGCAGCTCAGGTGACCAGGTGCTTGGTGAGCGCACTCTCCCCAGGTGGGCGGTGGGTCTTATCACCTCCCCTGTCCCAGCCGCTAAGTTTCCTGGCTGTGCAGCGGGCGTGTCATCTCGGGTGTGCCTTGTGTCTCTTCTGGGCAGCTGATCTCTGGCTGTGACCCTCCCGGCGGATGTCAACGGTCCAGAATCCCAGGAAGTCTTGGTTAGCAACTGGGAGCCTGCTTGCAATTTGGTAGAGGATGCTGTCTCTGAGGCCAAGATTGCCCCTTTCCGGCTCTGGCTGCCGCCCACCTGCCTCCCTGCCTCTGGCGGGGGATGGGTCGGTCTGCAACCAGCTAGCTCTCTTCTGGTATTCGCTCAGTCCTTTGTTCTGTAAGCAGGCCCGGCAGTGCCTTAGGTTAGAGCTTTTCACAGGAAAGTTCTCTCTCTCTCTCTTTTTTCCCCCTCTCTCTGGCTATCCCACAGTTTGGGTTTCTATCTCACATTAGCTCCCTCAGATTGCCTTCAGGGCATTCAGGCCCGGTCCTTACCCTGAGCAATGCAGCCCATGCCTCCCTGTTCAGCCCCCGCTTGCTGGTGGCGGATGTGAGCATCTGGGCCACTTCTCTGCTGGGAGTTGTCGTAGGCATGTAATCTGTGGGTTTCATTTATTTATTTTTCCTCCCAGTTATGTTGCCCTCTGAGATTCCAAAACTCCCCACAGACCTGCCAGTGAGAGGGTTTCCTGGTGTTTGGAAACTTCTCCTCTTTTAAGATTCCCTTCCTGGGACAGGTCTCCATACCTAACTCTTTTGTCTCTCTTTTTATCTTTTATATTTTGTCCTACCTCCCTTCGAAGACAATGGGCTGCCTTTCTGGGTGCCTAATGTCCTCTGCCAGCATTCAGAAGTTGTTTTGTGGAATTTGCTCAGCGTTCAAATGTTCTTTCAATGAATTTGTCAGGGAGAAAGTGGTCTCCCTGTCCTATTCCTCTGCCATCTTAGGGCCACCCCAATGCAAAAATTCTTAACAAAATATTGGCAAATCAAATTAAAAAACTGTAAAAATAATTATACACCATGACCAAATGGGACTTACACAGGTACACAAGCCTGGCTCAACATTTGAAAATTAAGTAATGTAATCCATCACATAACAGACTAAGAAAGAAAAGTCACATAATCATATCAATAGATGCACAAAAAGCACTTGACAAAACCCATTTAAGATAGAAATTCTCAGTAAACCAGGGATAGAAGGGAATTTTCTCAATTGATAGAGATTATCTACAAAAACCCTACAGATAATATCATATTTAATGATGAGAAGCTCAAAGCTTTCCTGTTAAGATCAGGTACAAGGCAAGGATATTCCCTCTCATCTCTCTTTTTCAGTGTCATACTGGAATTTCTTGATAATGCAATATGGCAAGAAAATAAAATAAAAGATACACAGATTGGGAAGGAAGATAGAAAAGTGCTTTTGTTCACAGATGACATGGTAGTCTATGTAGAAAATCCAAAAGAATTGATACACACACACACACACACACACACACACAGACACACAAACCCCCTCTTGGGACTATTGAACAATTATAGCAAGGTTGCAGGCTTCAAGGATATTATACAAAGGTAAACCATTTTCCTACATACCAATAATGAACAGGTAGAATTTTTTTTTTGAACAGGTAGAATTTGAAATCAGAAATATTTCTATTGATATTGACACCTTGAAAAATGAAATAGTGTAAGTCTAACAAACAAAACCTTAAAACTCTGATGAATGATATCAAAGAACTAAATCAATGGATAGAAAGCCTCAATATTATCAAGATGTCATGTCTTTCCAACTTATTCCATACATTCAATGCAATTCCAATCAAAATCCAAACAAGTTATTTTATAAATATTGTCAAATTGGTTCTAAAATTTATATGAAGAGACACAATATTAAGTGAGAAGAAAAAGCTGGAGGACTGATGCTACCTGACTTGAAGACTTAAGATAAAACTATAGTAATTAAGACAATGTGGTATTGGCAAAAGAATAGACAATGAAACAGAACAGAGAGATCAGAAATAGAACCCCATCAACACAGTCAACTGATCTGTGATAAAGGTGAACAGGCAATAGCAACCAGGATGTCCTTCCGTAGGTGAGTGAATAACTAAACTGTGGTACATCTAGAAAATAAGAAATTATTCATTGCTGAAAGAAATGAACTCTCAAGCAATGAAAAGACAGGAAGGGATCTTAAACACTGATTTCCAAATGAAAGCAGCCAATCTGAAAAGGCTACATTCTGTATGCTTCTAATTATTTGACATTCTGGAGAAAGCAAAACTATGGAGGCAATAAGAATATCAGTGGTTGCTAAGGGTAAGGTGGCAAGGAGAGATGAAAGGGAGAGCACATAGGGTTTTTAGGGCAGTGAAACTATTCTGTGTGACATATATCACATACTATAATATATCACATATAATAATAGGCATATGTCATTATACATTTGTTCAGACTCACAGAATCTACGCCAAGAGTGAACCTTAAGGTAGATTATGGTCTTTGAGTGATAACGCTGTGCTAATGTAGGTTCATTCTTTGTATATAAAGAAAAAAAGTGAACAAAATATCATACTATTCTGGTAAGTGATGTTGATAACATGGGAGACTATGCATGTGTGGTTACAGTGGGAAATGAGGAATCTGAGTACTGCCTCTCAATTTTGCTGTTAACCTAAACTACCCTAAAAAGTAAAGCCTTAGAATTTTTTTTTTTAAAAAGCATAGTATCATGAGAATATAGGTAAATGGTGCAGTGGGTACCAAAGAATTAAAATATAAGTCCAGGGATTTCTCTGGTGTTCCAGTGATTAAGGGGGCTTCCCAGGTGGCGCCAGAGGTAAAGAATCCACTTGCCAATGCAGGAGATGTAAGAGATGTGGATTCCATCCCTGTGTTGGGAGGATCCCCTGGAGAAGGGCATGGCAACCCACTCTGTATTCTGGCCTGAAAAATCCCATGGACAGAGGAGCCTGGAGGGCTACAGTCCACAGGGTCACAGAGAGTTGGAAATGACTGAAGCGACTTAGCATACATGCATGTCAGTGGTTAAGAATCTGCCTTCCAATGCAGGGGACTCTGGTTTGATCCCTGGCCAGGGAGTTCACACACGCTGTAAAGCCGGTGTGCTGCAACTAGAAAAATCTGCAAACTGCAACTAAGACCTGATGCAGATATATAAGTAAATATTTTAAAAAAGAAAAGAAAATATAGGTCCAACATATGCCAGTCCCACTTTAACTTCATTTTTGCATGTGAAGAATGTATACA